TTATTGACTTCGCTCCGCAACCAGAGGGACATTATGTTTATCCTCTGCTCCCTGTTGCTGCCTGCAGCACCCTGACTTCAGGCCTCGTTATCTGTCAGCAGACTATTACATCAGCCTCTAATAGGACTCTCCACTCCAATTTGCCTTCCCCTGGTCCATTCTCTGAACAGAAGGAGTCCCTCACAAAGGTAGCCACCTCTTCCTTCTATAACTCCCTACCAGAGCACCCTGCATAGAAGATAAATCCATTAGCACTGCTCATTGGACCCTGGGCCCTTGCTTTTCCCAGCCTCATCTTTTACTCCTTCCTACCAGCTATACAGAGGCCTGATCTACCAGTACTGAATGGTTATGGTTCTTGGGACCCCTGAGTGATCTCCCACCTTTGTGTCTCCATTCTGCTTGTCCTCTCAACCACATATTCTCTGTTTGCTCTCTAATGGATCCTCCGTAACACTTAAGAGTCAGCTTACTTCTAAGAAAGCTGTCAATGAACACATGGAACATGTTATACACACACACACACACACACACACACACACACACACACACAGGGCAACTGTCCAAACTAGACTGCAGATCTCTGTTCCTGACCACACCATTCTGCCTCCTCATTAGGCTGTCCTCTCATGGAGAAGAGCTAGTATATACTTATCTTGATACCTGATCACCTAGCAATGCACATAGCATCTAGTAGACCCTCAACATATGTCTATCAGAACATATTTGAAACTAAGGCTATTGCCCAGAGCCTGAGGAACATGTCCAGGACGTATACTAAAAATTGAGAGAAATGTGATGCTGATCTAATTTTTTCCATGTGCACCTTTAGCTGGGTGGTTCACACCTGTAATCCCAGCACTCAGGAGGTTGAGGCAGGAGGATCAATAGTTTGAGGTCAGCCTGTGGGAACTTCTCTCAGAGAAACAGAGAGAAAGGGAGTAAGAGAGAAGGTTGGGTTCTTTGCTAGCTCAGGGAATGATTGCTTACTCTTGGCAGGGAGTGTGGAGTAGACTGAAGTGTATTTGGGGAATCCGAAGGACCTAAAGATGCAGTGCTATATATACTTTAAATGCTTAGGTTCATATAATTGATTTGAAAAGCCCCCTTAGCCAGGTGCTGGTGGCTCACCCCTTTATTGCTAGATACTCAGGAGGCTGAGATTTGAGGATCAGGCTCGAAGCCAGCCTAGACAGGAAAGTCCATGAGACTCTTATCTAAAATAAACTAGCAAAAGAAGAAGGAGGAGGAGGAGAAGGAGGAGGAGAAGGA